ACCGTTGTCTGATGTTTCTTCATGGAGACTGAATTTTGCGACGGTGGGGCCAAAGATATTTTCCCTTCCGATTTTTGCATTAAAATCTCCTAGAAAAAATTTTAATGTCATGGCCAGGGCAACGGTCATATGCTGTTTCTAGGCGTAAAATATGTCTTCTTTAAAAAAATCCACGCCATTCTAATACTTGAAAAAAGTCTTTTTTAAAAAAATTCTCTCCTTTCTAAGACTTGAAAAAAGTCTTCTTTAAAAAAATTCACGACTTTCTATGGCTTGAAAAAAATTCTTAAAAAATTCATGAAAGGCTTGAAAATTTCTTTAAAATAATCCCCACCTTGGCTAAGGCTTGAAAAAATATTCTTAAAAAAATTCACGCTTGTTATGAATAAATGTTCTTAGAAAGTCCAAACATCCATCCCTGACCCAATTTCCTTTTTTTGAGTAATGAACAAAAAACTGGTCATGGGGTTTTAAGGAGGAAGTGCACCAAATGTATTTGTAATACCCCATAATTATGAAATAAATACAAAATGATTTCAGTCCACCATGGCTAACACTACTCCGCATATACGTATTTATATATGCATGTATGTATGTGTTGGTGCATTCGCATTGCTCTTGCTTTGGTCTCTGTATGCGAGTGGTTTTTCCTCCTTTTTTGTTTGTTTGTTCGACCACTATAATCTGGAAAACTGGACTGGGAGGATTTGTGTTGTGAAAAATTTACTATTAAATATCATTAAATATTAATTTTGTTACAATGCTGCCCGTTGCCATAAATAAACAAAAAAACATGCTGTTGTCCCTGCTGCTCTGCTGCTGTTGACCGGACAGCAGTGATTCGGAACAAATATTAAACGAATTATTTTATTTGGATTTCATTTTAATGACCGGCCAAACCAATTCTAGTAGGATTTAGAGAAGAGGGAGTGATTAACGTTATGGTTTCCCCCATTTTGCATATGTGCGAGTGAGTGTGTTTGGTTGTTTGAGGGGAGGTTGTGTGCGTGTGAATTATATAAAATATGCATAAATGCTGTGTACACGCATCATAAATCATCAAATAATAAATTATTTATATAGGAATTATTGCATATTTTGTATGTGACTCTTAAATAATATTTTGTTGTTATTGTGTTTTTTGTTGTCGATGCTGCGTCCATTAAATCCACATTTGCCCTGACCAAATGTTAAATATAACATTTATGACTTTTTCTGTTTATTTTGCAATAAATGGGGATAAATGCAAATACTCACACACATACGCTCGCATGCACACACACAAGCGCCAAATGCATAGCCAAATGCTATTTTTAAATTACCAATTAATTTAGATTAATTTAAAAAATAATAATGATAATATATATTTAATGCTTCTGAGTACCAAAAGGGTCAAAGGTCCATCTATAATGTGAATATATATATTTTTTAAAATATTTAATAAGTGTAGAATTTTTTAGTAATACTTTTTGGCTTTAACATGGCGAAGTCCAGGCTTATCTTGGTCCCTCTTTCATCTCAAGTTTACCCATAAGAACTATAAAAAATGGGTTGAGGCGTCGGGTTAGTGGCCCACTCTGGGAAAACCGAACCTTCTATGAAAAAGCAAAGGAAAAGAAAACCAATCCCCCTAATGTTGACGACCCCCGCAAACGTATAAAGGACCACGAACTGCGAATCTGCACTTGGTACAAAGCCGATGTTATTGCCTTACAGGAAATGCGAAGCGAAATGCATTGTATTATAGCTGCCATGAAACGAGACATGCATTTGGCTGCGGATTTAAGGGTAACAGGAAAATATAAGACTTCGTCACCAGATTCACTCCAGTAGATGAGCGAATTTGTATAATCCGTATAAAAGCGAAGTTCTTCTACATCAGTCTTATTTGCGCCGACCGAAGACAAAGATGAGCAGACCAAAGCTATATTTTATGAGCGCCTAAAACAGCATATGATCGCTGCCCTGCCCATGCCAATAAAATTCTATTAGTAGGTTTTTTTGCAAAAATCGGAGGGGAAAATATCTTTGGCCCCACCGTCGGAAAAATCAGCCTTCATGAAGAAACATCCGAAAACGGCATGAGGTTGATTGACTTCGCGGCAGCAAAAACATGGTAGTTAGCAGCACAAGGATATACATAAGGCCACTTGGATTTCTCCCGATCGAACAGCGAGAAATCAAATCGATCATGTTGTGATAGACGGAAGACATTCATCCAGTGTATTAGACGTTCGATCGATCCGAGGAGCGAATATGTTTTCAGAAAAAAGAAGAAAGACAAGAAGAAAAACGTGAGCGTGAGCAAATCTAGATGTACATGAGTCAGAATGAAGTCCGAAAATTCTACCAACGGGTAAAACACCAAACCGAAGGCTTTGGTGCAGGAGTTGAAGAAAGAAACCTGGTGACAGATACAGACAGCGTGCATATATATTAGTACTATTCAGCGTACTGTGTGAACGACTGAAGCCAATGGTCAATGACATTATTGGACCATACCAATGCGGATTCAGACCTGGCAAATCCACCGTTGACCAGATTTTTACTCTGCGTCAAATCCTGGAAAACCCCACGAAAAACATATCGACACATTCCACCTATTCGTCGACTATAAAGCCGCATTCGATAGCCCTATCCGTTCAGAGGTGTTTAAAGCCATGTCTGCAGGATAACTTTAACTGGCACAAGATCAGCAGTTAAAGTCGGAAAGGACCTCTTGGAGCCCTTTAATACTGAACGAGGATGTAGACAAGATGACAATTTGTCGTGTGACCTTTTTAACATGCTCCTGGAAAAGGTTATACGAGTGGCAAAGGTGAACAGAAATGGCACTTTGTACACCAGACAACACCAGTTGCACGCCTACGCCGATGATATCGACATCGCCGATGATATCGACGTCCAATAGACTCGGACCAACAGTGGAACTTGAGAACTACACCTTCGAGGTTAGGTTGAAAAGAGGTGTGGATGATACCACCACATGTCCAACATGAGAAGGACATACACTTAAGCCATATGAGGCCTGTTGTGCGTTCTAGATGTGCGGAGAAAGTACAAATCAAGAATTAGTGAAGTGTATATTAATAAAGAAATGCATTTGGGTTTGATTCCCTATGAATCTAGGAATTCCGTGTTTTTGCGATCTCCTGCAGTCTTTTCCATTCACACCCCCTCAGATCGCTTAGTCCGTGAAGAGTGTCATTTCCCAAGAATTGTCTCCGAAGGCATGTAAATGCTGCGCAATGGCATAGGAAATGTTCCAGCGTTTTACTGTCTTCCCCACACGCTCTGCACTCGTTACTTCCTTCGCATCCAATCTTGAGTAGATGTGCCTTTAGGCCGAGGTGTCCCGTCAGTCGGCTTATTTCTTTTTTGTTTAGCGTTAGGATTTGCTTAGTTTTGACTTCACTTGGGTCACCCCATAAGATTTTGGTGATTTTTCCTGTCCCCTCATTATCCCAAAGGGGTTTGTGGGTCCCATGTGCCCATTCCCTCATTTCTTGACGTGTTTCGCTAAAGGGTTTGGCGGTATACACCTCTATTGTGGGTAGTGCAATGGTGTTGTACGCATTGCTCCACATATTCCTAGGCAACACGTTCTTTGAACTTTCTGCAACGTTTTTACGTTACATTTTTTATCCATTGCTGTCCACCAGACAACAGACGCGTATGTTAGAATCTTTGGATTGAAACCCCATTTAGAGCCTACGGCTCTTCTGCAGAAACACCAACATCTTTGGGCCTTGTCAGCCCTTTGCTGTATGTGGTCTTTACATTTAAATTTCTTGTCTAGAATTACTCCCAGATACTTAACTTTGTTTGATATGGCTATCGTTTTGTTTTGGAAGATGGGGTCTTCGTACTGACCGATTTTTGTCTTTCTAGTAAAAAGACATATCTCCGTTTTGTCCGGATTTACGTTTAAGCCCCTCGGTTATGCCCAATCGTATGCGATTTTTAGCACCGTTTCGGTTTTCCTGCATAGAAAGTTTGGATTCTTTCCCCTAAGAAGTATTATAACGTCGTCTGCATAACAGACTGGTTCAAATCCTTCGTGAGAAGCTTTTTAGGGCGTCTAACACCATTGACTTGTCAATAATTGGTTCCTCTGATATTTCTTCCCTATCTGTCATGACATCGTCCATTGTCGATGTGTTTGATGGGAAGTGAGCATTCATTAGGAACCTTAGTGTTTCTTCGATTGTTTCTATCCTATTACCCTCGCCGCCTACCATAGTTTCGGGTTGGGTGTGGGTCTTGGCTAGAAATTTCTTGATTTTTGAATCATCGTTGACGCTATCTGCCTGTTGGCAGAACAGCTTCCAGGAGTTGCTTTTGGCGGTTCTTGTTAATTTATTGTATTCCTTCTGTTTATTGTGGAAGTTGTCCCATAATGCTACGGATTTTTTTCGGCGTGCTCTGTTGTAAAGCCTTCGGACCTCGTTTCCCTCCCTCCTCGACTAGTCTCCCGAACCTTATCCAGTTAGTTTTAGACTTGTTACGGAAGTGTATTGATTTCGGCGGTGGCCGTAGGATTTTGAACATAATATATATGTGGTCAGAAAAGGAGTACCCTTCTGAGACCCTCCACTCATGTACTCATCTACAGTGGTCATTGAAAAAATAATCTTTTAAAAATCCACGCCTACAGTGGTCATTGAAAAAATAATCTTAGAAAAATAATTTTCACTGGAATGCTTCGAAAATCTTTCTGCAAAAGTCTGAACCTTTGAATTATTTTTCAAAAGTCTGCTAATTTTTTCAACATGGGTATTGAGAAGGCGGATTCAAATTTAATTTATAATTTTTATGATGTGAAAAGTAGTTGTTATCATGTCGCTGGGTGTGGTTGGGTTTTTATTACAATTCTAATTAAGGGGTTTAAATAATAACGTGTTACGATATCGTTATATATTATTATCAGTATTCAAAATCCTCTGAATATTTGATATAAATATCCGAACATTAAATTAGAACTTATCAAGCTCCACGAAATGTCTCTTTTCAAGGTTATCAGTTTTCTGGTCTATTTTCGCACGATTGTGGTGGTCAAGGCGGCCCTATACGGATTTGCTTTTGAAAACGATGAAATGTTCGATGACTGTCCCGATGTGCCGTATAGCGTCAATGTCTTAGATATTGGTGATCTTTCGAATATAGAAATGGATTATACAGATGGATTTGTAAGTGTCAGTGGTAATCACACTGTCACCTGGGAAGGTGTTCAACCAACAGATCGTATTGAGGTGAGTTTTCTGGAACTCGGCATATTTTTTTTGCGGATATGAAATTCAAAAATCTCCTTAGTGTATTGCTGAAGTATATCAGTTTCGTCGTGGCGCATGGCAACCCACTCCATTTACCATCATAGAAAAGGATTTCTGTAAAGTACAATTTGATCCGACATCAGTATGGTATCAGGTTTGGTCTAAACACATACCCGAGCATCTACGAATATGTTTCAATAATTATGGTGTAAGTCAGTAACTGAATTTTGAAAAATTTTTGTTGTTTTTGTAAGCATTTTTTTACTTTAAGATCATGTATGCCTATGAACCATTTACTGTGGATGCCCGCTTTAATTTCATCACCTTTGTTGAGGGACGTTATAAGCTGGTGGGACGCGGTTTTGCCTATGATGAGCGAAATCTAAAGCGTAAGGTGTCGGTTTGTTTTCAGATTATTGGTGAATTCTATAAAATGAATTGAAATATCGTGCAGTCAGTGACCTTCACTTTTAAGGTAGTCTCAGCGATTATACTTTAGTAAACATAATTCGAAAAAATTCGATAATAAAAATTTCAAATAATTGAAAATAGTTGGCCAAGGACAAGCGTGGATTTTTATTAAAAAATTATGAAGGCCCATCATAAGCGTGGATTTATAAAGATTATTTTTATGTAGCCAACACAAGGCGTGGATTTTTTTAAAGAATATTTTGTTCAAGGACCAACACAAGGCGTGGATATTTAAAAGAATATTTTTCACGGACTAGTTTAGGCATCGATTTTTTAAAGAACATTTTTTCAACGACTAGTATAGGCGTGGATTTTTTAAAGAACATTTTTTCAACGACCAGTATAGGCGTGGATTTTTTAAAGAATATTTTTTCAAGGATCTGAAGAGGCGTGGATTTTTAAAATAATATTTTTTCAAGGATCTGAATAGGCGTGGACTTTTAAAAGAATATTTGTTCAAGGATCTGAATGGTTGTGGATTTTTAAAATAATATTTTTTCAAAAATCTGAATAGCCGTGGATTTTTAAAAGAATAATTGAAGGTTACTTTGTTTAATAGCCGTGGATTTTTAAAAGAATATTTTTTAAAGGATCTGAATAGCCGTGGATTTTTAAAAGAATATTTTTAAAGGATCTGAATAGCCGTGGATTTTTAAAAGAATATTTTTTAAAGGATCTGAATAGCCGTGGATTTTTAAAAGAATATTTTTTAAAGGATCTGAATAGCCGTGGATTTTTAAAAGAATAATTGAAGGTTATTTTCTTTAATAGCCGTGGACTTTTAAAAGAATATTTTTTAAAGGATCTGAATAGCCGTGGATTTTTAAAAGAATATTTTTTAAAGGATCTGAATAGGCGTGGATTTTTAAAAGAATATTTTTTAAAGGATCTGAATAGCCGTGGATTTTTAAAAGAATAATTGAAGGTTATTTTTTTAATAGCCGTGGATTTTTAAAAGAATATTTTTTCAAGGATCTGAATAGCCGTGGATTTTTAAAAGAATATTTTTTAAAGGATCTGAATAGCCGTGGATTTTTAAAAGAATAATTGAAGGTTATTTTTTTTTAATAGCCAATCGTAATCCAGTTAAAAGATTCTATTATCAGCCTCATTAATCTAACCTCTTGTTGAAAAAATCAATTCAAAACTGCAAACCACTTAACATTTGAACTGTAATTTAAGACCCAACGCAGTGAGTGCATGTGCCCAGTTACTAGTACCAAAAAACCAACAACAACATCAATAACTCCATAAAACTTCCAACCCCAACAACAACAACAATTGCAAAATCTAAATGTTTTACAATTTTGTGATTTGTTTTGATGAATGTATACAATTTTTCACTGTCCAGTTAAAAGGTGTATCGGCATCGGAGGAGGCAGTTGTGGTGCTGGTGCATTCGTAAATGAAACAATACGAGTACTGCGCGCCAAAAGATTTACATTCACATTGTGTGATTTAACGTTGTGTGTGTGTGTGTGTGTGAGTGTGTGTTCGCACAAATTAAGATTTAAAGCGAATGATTAAAAATAAATTAACCTTTACGCTGTTAAGGCTTATCAAAATGAAAAACAACAAAAGGCGCTAGGGAATATTCAGTCGCTTAGGTGTAGAGTGGGATTTGAGTAGAGTTTCCGTTAGAGTAAAACAATTGTCATTAACTTGTCAATGATAGGGGCTAGAAATTCGCACAAAACAATTATTTTGGATTAGATTTGTTTTTGGTCTGCGACGTAAACTTCAAAATTGTAGCTACACAAGTGACAGCTATTAAACCATGACATTTTGTTTTTTTTTTTTAAGACAGTGGATTTTTGGTTAAAATGAAGGACTTACACATCGTATAAAGAATAATATTAAGTATGTGACGCTCAGTGTTTCAATTATATTCTATAAAACCTTATAATTCTCATTCACTTCATAGTGTTAAATATGTTTTCAGGTAGGAACATTTTTTTTCTGATGACATGGCAAGTTTTCACGGTTTGTCTGCAGATAGCTATCAAATTATACATTTTTGCTCCTAAAATATATTTGCTGAACATAATGTTATATCTAATACCTCCTCTCTAATTCTTTTAACAAAGGTAGGTTTATTGCCTATGTTAAGTGTTATCAGATCGTTAGTATTCAAATAATCTAAAAGGGCCTGGCCCCTTTTGTTAGTATTTGTACTGCCCCACGCAATATGATGTGAGTTAGCATCACTACCAATTAGTACTTCGTTACCTGTTTCCTTTGCTTTCTTCACCAGTCGCTGCAGCTCCGCCGTTGGTGGTGGTATCGGCGAGTCGAACGGGAGGTACACTGAAGCCAGGTAAATGTTACCACTCCCCTGTTTCAGTACAGTGGCGTCCGATGTTGACAACTCTGGGGAGAAGAGAAACCATAAATTTTTATGACATAATACAGATTCTCGGACGAGACCCCGTATTTGCATAGAACAGTTGGTAATTTATATGGCTTAATCCAGAGACCTTGTTTTTAATTGTCCAAGGTTCCTGGATCAGTCCGACGTGTATTTTACCTTTTATATTTTTTTCCACCAGGGCCAGGGTTGCCGTCTCGCTCCGATGGAGGTTGATCTGGATGACGTCAATCAGTTGTCCTCCAGTAACCGGTTTTCTGGGGAGTCTGTGATATTCACATCGGCCCCCTCCTCTATGTTGCTGGGAATTATCCCCTCGCTTCATCGTCTCCAATCCTTGCCTTCCTGATTTTGAAGTAAACGGCATTGGACACGTAGTAGACCTTGCCTTTGGTCTTAGACAGACTTGCCATTGAAGACCTGTCTAAGCCTAACACAAGGAGAGTCCCTTCCTCCTTCTCCTCCCTGTGGAAGACTTCCCATTTCTTCAGGTGCAGCGTCTTGTTTTGTAGGCTGAAGACCTTGAGCATGCGTTCCGTGTCGAAATCGCTGCCCCAACCTCTGACGAAGACTGTAGCCTTTTGTAGTTGAGGAATGTGTTTTTTCTTCACCAGCTTGAGCTTCATTGTTTCATCTATTGGTCCAATGCTTGCCACTATCTTTCTCAGGGCTTCTATGCTTTTTGGACTTCCAAATTCCAGCATTAGATAGTCCCCTTTGAACTCGCAACTATTCATTTCTATAGAGTCCTCTCCTTCCAGTAGATACTCCATTATCTTGGTATTGACCACATTTAATACTTCTTTATGAGCTTACCGGATGCGCTATTTCCGTCGATCTCTGCATAGCAGAGCTCGTCTCGATAGCGCTTCCTGGCAACCTTGGCGTAAGACTGTCATCTTCCTCTTTCTTCCGGTTGGTCCTTTTGGGATTCCCGGTCTTTTCGGAAGATTCCGACTCAGCACTCGTCTTCCTGATATCAGAGCCAGCCTCGTCTGCCCTCGTCGGTGGATTCTCGTGACAGTCTCCTTTGACGTTGGTTTGGCTCTGCTTTCTCTTATTATCATTAGACGGGAAGCTCTTTTTCTTTTTGGCGGATTTGACAGTCGCCTGCTCATCCGGAGACCTTATCCTCTTCGGCGCTTCCACAGAGGTGGAGGGAATGTCAGGCTTATCCTTTTGAGTTTCTGCCTGTGTCTCGCTCTTTTTGTTTATCCGGTTCAATCTGTCCAACTTCCGTCTTTGTGCCCCAGACAACTGCTTCTTCCTAGTTGTGGGTTTGGCGATGTTTTTACTCACCTCATCTATCATCTTGTCAGCCTCATCTTCCTTCCGGCTCTCCAAGACAGTTATGTTTGTCTGATTATCATGATCAGACTCAGAGTTCGAAATGAGTTCCCTCCTGTCTCTGAAGGCTGGGTCGAGATTGCTCTTCCCCTTTAGTTCCTCAACTTCGACTTAGTGTTGCCCGAAGGCTGAGTGCTTGTAGCTATACCTTCGACTACAGATGCCAAGACACCCGCATCTGTAGGAGATTGTTGCTCACGATCGCAGGTTAACGACGGGGCGTTACTCGTGGGCAGATCAACGACACCCGCCGGTACTGAGTTATTTAGGCTCTGCACCGTAACGTTTATTCTTTCTTCTTCTTTTCCCATCTTTGTTTTTTGTTTTAGGGGAACACCAACCATAGTTAGTTTTGGCCCGCGGGGACAGAAGCCCTGGAGGTGGGAGATCAAACTATTCTATTACTTACAGCCTGCGCTGGTTGTAATTGATTAGTATGATCATCCACCTCCCCCCTATCCGCCACCTGGGGACGCGCCCGGTAGTAGACTAACAACTCCCTCGGGACAGCTTCGAGGTAGTCAAAGATTTTATACACCTTGGTACCGCCATAAATAAAACGAATGACATCTGCGTTGACGATGAATATCGCCGTCGAATGAACCATGAGCGTACCAGCTATTCTCGGACATTGGCATTGTTAGACGTATTGAGCTGCAGCGACTGCGTTGGTTAGGTCATATTGTGAGAATGGATGAAGATGCCCCAGCCCAGAAGGCATATAAAAGCGAACCGGCTGATGGTTCACGCAGAAGGGGAAGGCCACGAATAAGATGGAAAGATCAAGTGGAAGACAACATTGTCAAATATGATCTTTCAAACTGGAAAAACTGCGCAAAAGACCGACGAGCCTAGAAATCGTTATTAAGCTCGGCTTATGGAACGAAAGTTCTGTCACAAGCCAGGAAATAAGTAAGTAGACATTTTTATAAAATATTTTTAAATAATAACATTTTTGAAAAATACTTTTAAAGTCTATATATGTATTTAACGGTAATAATATATTTATTTAAGGGTAACCCAATCATGAATGTTGTAAAAATATTTAAGGTCTAACTCAATACTCTAACAAATGGCAGTAATTTTTTCCTAAACTTTTTAATCCAATCGTAATTTTTTTCAAATATATTTTTAATTATTTTTGGGCAAATTTTTAATAATTTTAATACTGTTAAATTACATCATTTTCATTGGTATTAATATATCAATAACTATAAAGTGTATTTTTATTATTCTTGTAAATCAAATGCGTGTGTGGTCAAAATATTTCCGCATTGGCATTTTTCCTGCTGCTGCAATTGATAATTTATTGCGAAATTAAAAAAGAAAAAAACTTTTCCAAAGATGCATTTGTGAACATTGTCTTGACCAAATGTCTCGAAGAAACTGGAAGTCATAAAAATGCTAATAGTTTCCCTATTTATATCTCCCTCTCTCCATTATGAAAAAAATCATAATTTTTATACAGTGAAACATTTATGGTCTGCACCAATTGTAAATCAACATAACAATAGAAATAAAATAAAAAAACTATAAAAATGTTTCTCGGTTTTTGCAATAATAAAACTAACAATAAATATCCCGTAATAGGGTTCAGACAATTGCTGCTGCATAGTGGGTAAAAAATAATGAATTGTCTTGCAACTATCAAGACATATTTTATAGTTTATTATCAATTAATATTATTCAGTAAGAGGAAAATAATACATTACGTCAACCACAAAGCTGTGAGTTGCTTGCAGGACTCACATCCGCAGCGTAGGTATATAAAAGACTTGATCGTAATAATAAATATATTATGCAAAACTCTTTTTACCTTCCTCATCTTTATCCTTTATTACAGTTTTTTTTTTGCATGAATTCTACAAAGGACTCAGGAATTCCTTTTGATTGTAATTATAATTATTTTTTCCCAAAAGTAATTTCAACTGCAAACTTTTTACTTCATTAATATTTTCTCAAGTCTTAGTAAAATATTAACATCTTTGCTACACTTTGCACTTCTATGTAAGTGTGTGTGAGTGCAATAAAACACACACATACATAAACCAAAAAAAAAACCTCATTAAAATGCCTTTGGTTACAATTCAAATGAGTCAATATTTCTCACATGGATGGTGAGCTAGAGCCGCACCACTCCTCACCCCACACCACACCACCCATCACTACATTTGTTCGGGTATGCACTTCTGAAATCCTTTGTCACCCAACGACAAAATTTCCTTTGAAACTTAAATCCGTCGCACATTGCCATTAGCAGCGGATGTGCGTGCCAGCACTTTTGAATTACTTTGTAAGCAAAGTTATCGGTTTTAAAACGAACTTCATCGTCATCCTCATCAGCGTCCTCGTCGTCGTCATCGTGGTTCCTAATGAATTTCACAAAACATGAAATAGTTGGTTTGGTTCGTAGGTTACTGGCTGTGCATACGAATGTAACCACAATTCCGAAAGAAGTTTTTAGAGGATTTTGGACGTGTTGTGGATATATATTTGGGCATGGCATATGTATGTGTGTGCATGCATGTGTTAGCGTTGCGGTAAATGCATTTCATGTGGTGTATGTATGGATTTATATAATAGTGTAGTTGTTGTTGTCGTTGTATAAATAAGTACTATTATCACTTAAGGTTTATATTTGCCTTGATGATGGTCATTATTCTCAAGTATTCAAATTTTGAGGTGGACTT